TTAGAAATTTCATTAATAATTCTAAATTTTGTTGCTATTGGAATAATTTTTAAATTAGAATGTAATACATTAAATAAAGAATGTTTTGGCATAAACTCCATTAAAAGATATAAATGAGGATATTCAATTGAATAACCAAAATATTGAATAATACAAGGATGTCTAATTTCTTTTATTGTTTTAATATTTTCTTTAATTTGTTCAAATTCATTTGAATTATCAATCATTTGATCTTTTAAAACAAATTTAACACCTTTCCAACTAACCATCCAAATAACACTTTTAGTTTTAATAGAGATTTTGTTATTTAAATATAATTCATTAATATTAATCCAACCTTTAATATTATCTTTCTTTCTTTTATTATAAATTCTGTATATAACAATAAACATTCCAATTGTAATAAGAATAATAATTAATATTGTTAATACAATAAGAATAATTATTCCATATGTTATTTTTTGATTAATTCTAAGTATTACACTATTTGACTTATTTTGTCCATTTAATAAAATAATTATTTCAATTGGTGTAGTTATTCCTTCTGTATTATAAAAACAAAGTACACATTCTTCATTTAAATAAATTCCTCCAACTCTTGTTTCATTAATTCCTTGACTTGATATTAAACATTCTATATTATTTGATTTAATTATTCCTTTTCCACATACTTCAATTTGTTGATTAGATCCTTCATTGTCTTTATAAATTCTTGCACTTTCAAATAAAACGTCATAATAATCAAATGTAACATTTGTTAATGCTGTTAATGGAAAATTTTCACTAAACAATTGAATTTTAATTTGACTTTGATTTTTATTTTTTGGAGTAATACAACTTCTTTGTTGCTCATTTATTTTTTCACTTTCTATTTTAATTCCATTAATTAAACAATAATACTCTTCTTTACTATTAAAATTACTTCCTATAAATGTAATATATGTCCCTCCTTCTATTGGTCCTAATACTGGATAATAATCAATTATATTTAATGCTTCAATTGTAAAAAATTGTATTACTTCTATCTTTGAAATACAAATAATATTTCCTAATCCTCTAAATTGTATTTCTGTTCCTATTTGTCCATATGGTGGTGAATATGTAATTTCTTTATTTTTAACACAATCACTACATTCATCATTTACAACTTCATCTTCTAATTCATATCTCTCTGGTTCATTCTCTCCAACTATAACTTCAATATATGATGGTAATCCATATGAATCAAGTGAATAACTAAGTTGTAAATCTATACTGTAAATTGCCATTGTAACACCACTAGGTCTAGTCTCTAATAATTTCATATTAATTGTATTTGTTTCATTATTACAAGTAGTTGGTCTATACTCAATAGCATTAATTTGGTTAAGAGAATAATTAGGACATTCATGACATTTTAAATTATTATTCTATTTATTATTAATTTTCATTCTATACTTTTAAGTATTTTCTTTAAACAAACAGAAACAAAAACTGTTGAATTAGAGAAAATAATAAATCGTCCCATAGCACACCATATCATCAAAATAATCTCAATCATCTATTCACTTGTTACTTTTTCAAAGATTTTTTTCTCAATTTTTTTCTTTTTTATTCTTTAAACTGCCAAAGATAATCAAAATAAAAGAGAAGAAAAAATCATAAAAGAATTCTTATCACTCTAATTTTATTAAAAAAAAAATATTTCTTAAACCAAGAATAAATGAACAAGATAATTTCTTATTTGTCCTTCTTTTCATTTCCAAGTTCGAAATGTTTGCATCTCTTTAAGCATTTTTGGAGCTTATACTTGCATTTAGTACATTCGATCTTTAAGACAACCTTTTTAGTTGTTTTAGCCTTCTTCTTAAAGACTGGTTTAGTTTGACCTCCAAAACCTTGTTGCTTACGATCATATCTTCTCTTACCTTGGACATGGAGTGAATCTTTTCCCTTTTTATATTGAGAAACTTTATGAGGTGTATGTTTATCACATCTTGGGCAATAGGTCTTTCTGGTCTTTGGGACTACAACCATTGTCTGACTTTTAGGGTTTTTTTTCTTTTGAGTTCCTCTCAAGTTTCTTATATTTTTTTATTATATATTTGTTATAATTATACTATTAATTATAATATAATCAAATACCATTAAAAATTGTAAATATGAAAATTTGTGTGATTGATATGGAATGAAAGAAGATTAATTAGAGAAAAATGAAAGATTTTTATTTCATTAAATATTGGATGACATCTGATGAGATTGGAAGATCTGAAGATGAAGATGAAGAATTTGTTCTTATACAATAACCAAAAAGTGATCTTCTAAAAAGAACTTCAGGATCTGTTTCTGTTTCAAAGAAACTTGATTCATGAATAGCAGGAGGTAAATTTTTAATATATTTTACATAACATTCATTTCGAATGTATAATGCTTCTTTTCTATTACATTAGTATATGTATATTGACTTTTAGACTTATTAAAATTATAAGATAATATGAAATGAAAGAACAAACTTAATAGGTTTTTTGGCATTTATAGGAATTTCTTTCCATAAAGTCCAATTAAATAATTTTTCTAAGTCACTATTCTGACTTGTAGGTGGCATAGAATTAACAATAGTACAATAAGCCATTGGAGAAATTTTTAAACAACCACTTAAAACACATTGTGTAAAAACTCTAAAAGGTAAAACATGATATGCATCAATAACTAAAGCATCAACAGTTTCTCTTTGTCTTGCTTGTAAACCGAATTGATGAAGACAATCTTCGATACAAGCATAAAAATGAATTTTTTCTAAAATAAGGTTATAAGTATGTTTTTCTTCTTCAACACCAATTTGATTTTTATATTTTTCTTTTAAGTAATTATCAAAATTAGTATAACAATGAGAGATACAATGGTTTAATAATTCATCATATTTTCTAACAAATTCTTCTTGTCCTTTTAAATTTTGACCTTCAACAGAAAAAGAGTTTAAGAAAATTAAATTTAAACATTTCTTAAATTCTTTTTCCCAAATATTTCTTTCCATTGGAGTTCTAATTCTTTCTTTTTTTTCAGTAGGTAAACGACCAAACAAAGGTAGTCTTATTTCACAAATTTCTAATTGTTCTTTAATACTTTTAACATCATATGAAATAGGAAAGAAAAATAATGCCTGAAAATAATGTTCCATTTGTTGAGGTGGAAGTCCTTTTAATTTAGAACAACGTATTTCAGCAGGAATACCATAAGTAAAGAAATCAATCAAATAATCTGCAGTAATATTTTCAAATTTAATTGGTAAAAATGGAACAATAGTAAAAGGAACATCTTTAGTTTGACTTAATGTTACATTATGTTGAAATAATAAATGAAGAAAAGTAGATCTATAAGGAGAAGGAGAATAAAGATGTTCAACAAAGAACTGAGGATTATAATCTAATTGAAATAGATTAAATGTATTATCATCAATATATACATTAGTATCTAATCTTCTTAAATGTAATAAATTTGATGTATTTAATGACTTCATTGATTCTACTAAAATGGGTGAATGACCTGGATGAAAATCATAAATTGAAACTCTTTGATCTGAAACAAAAAAGATGAAGTCTGAATCAATAAATATACTTTCATAAGGACTTCCTTTTGGATCTAATGAATGAAGAACACCTTTATCATTACAAATCCATACAATAGCTTTTAATATAAATATATAATAATAAATATCATCTAATAATACTACTTTAATTATTGGTCTTTTAATTCTTGATTCTGGTAATTTACAAAGATATTGTGGTTCAATTAATGGAAATGTTGTTGTTGAAATAAATTGTGAATAATCATTTGTTTGTTTAATAAATGAAGTAGAAATTGAAGACCCTTTTTCATTTAATTTTCTATAACGAGTATACATTTCAATAAATGTTTTAAGTGATGATGCATGATATTTTGCTTGTGTTTTAATTAATGGTTGAAATGGTATTAATTGATACACATCTTTAGATGTAACAATTAATATTCCATTTTTACTTCTTAATGCAAAACAACATGATTCTCCTCCTAATGGATAATTATATGTTTGAATCTTTCTAGAAAATAAACCATTTGATATAGAAACTGTCCATAATGAATCTTGTGTATGCATAATAAAATATGTTTCTTTATCAATAACTTGTGTCATAATTTCTATTTGTCCAATAAATTTATTATCATTATATCCAACTGGAATAAGTTCTTCCATTCTACCATTTTCTGATTGATTAATAATAATATATGTTTTATAATACGCTTTTTTTATTAATTCTCTTTTTATTTTGTTAATAAACTATATTATATAGTTTATTTTATTATTAAATTTAATAAAATAACAAACATTTCATTTCTAAAACAACAATTCCATTTAAACTATCACTAAAACATGCGGTATATAATGAAAAATCATTAATATCAACTCCTCCATGAAATTGTTCTTCTAATTTAAAATAACAATAAACTGACATTTCCATTTTAGATGAAACAAGATAAAATTTAAGGACATGAGTCTTTTGTCTCTTTCCATTCATTGCAATTATTAATACTTTTTCATGTGTTCGTGGATGTTTAGCAACTCCTATAACAAAACATCTATTTATTAAATTACTTTTTTGATAAATTAAATTCTTACAAACATTGGTAAATCTACATCAACTAAACTTCTTTCTTTAATTTTTTCAATTGCTTTTATTATAAAATCAGATTTATCTGTTTCTAAACATCCTTGTGGATGAGCACGTAACATAGACATAACTTCAGTATCTGGTGTTGTCATTTATCCTCAACAAAGTGATTAATCATATTTTCTGTTTCCTTTTCTCTTCTTTTCGTTCTACTTAAAGAAGAACTTTTCATAGAAACATCTATTTGATAATTATCATTTACTATAATTTATAATAAATTTTTTATTATTTTATAATTTCTTTTTTCTCATAAAAAAAACAAAATTAAAAAATAAAAAACTAAAAATTCAACCCTATCAGATTAATCCTTCATTGTTCATGGCTAACAAGAACATCAGTTTTGAACTTAAATCTACCCTTAATGGACATAATGGTGCTGTTACTGCACTTGCTATTGCTACAACTAAAGCTGATACTCTTGTTTCAGGATCACGTGATAAAACTCTTATGACATGGAAAATTGATACAAACTCAGAAGCACAACCAGAAACTATTCTTCCAACTAAATCACTTCATGGACACAGTCATTTCATTAGTGATCTTGTTCTTTCAAACGATGGACAATTTGCTATTTCATCATCATGGGATCATACTTTAAGACTTTGGGATCTTACTAAAATGGAATCAGTTAGAAGATTTGTTGGACATGAAGGAGATGTTATGTCAGTTGCTTTTTCTGCTGATAACACTAAAATCCTTTCTAGTGGACGTGATAAAACTATTAAGTTATGGAATACTCTTGGTAAATGTGTTGCATCTGTTAAAACTGATTCTCATTCTGAATGGGTTTCTTGTGTTAGATTTGTTCCAAATGCTAAAGGAAACAAATTTGTTTCTGCTGGTTGGGATAATCAAGTTAAAACATGGACTCTTGACCAATCATGCAAATTGGAATCAACTATCACTCATCACACTGGATTTATTAATACCGTTGCTTTCTCACCAGATGGATCAATTATGGCTACTGCTGGTAAAGATGGTAATATTGCTTTCTGGACTCTTAATAATGGTACTGGACTTTATGAATTCCTTTATGATGTTGCTGTTAATTGCCAAGTTTATCAAATTGTCTTTGCTGAAAACCCAGAACAATACACTCTTCTTGCTGCTACTGAGCTTGGAGTTGTTGCTATTAAAGATAAAGAAATTGTTGGATTTATGAAGACAAGTAGTTGTATGTCTATTTGTCTCTCTGCTACTAAAGACATAATTTTCACAGGACACGTTGATAACAAGATCAGAATGTGGAAAGTTGGTATTGCTAGTTCTGTTCACGCTTAATTGACCCTCTTTTAATATAACGGTTTTGAGAATAAGATTTAGTTTCATTTGTGTGATTAAATCATTTTTTGGATCTCATTTTGACACGAGATTATATTGAAGAAAAAATGAAAGGAAAAAACAATAATAATATTTTATGATTTTTTGTATAAAAAAAATTTGAAGTTCTTTATTAGTTAAGTTCTTTTTCTTTCTCAAAAGAACTTGAAAATCTTAAAAAATTGGAAATAAAAAGTTAAATAGAAGAATGATGGAAAGAAGGGAAAGTAATGAAGATGATTTTGAATCTATTGTCAAGCTAGACCGGATATCATTTATTCAAGAATTAATGGAAATGGAATTGACGATATCACCTAATGTAGTAACAGATAGTTACAAATCAATAACAACAACATTAGAGTCATTTCTAAAGTTATTACTGGAAATGTTTAAGAAATTTGAAATTGAACTAACTAATGTTCAATTAATTGGAAGTACTGTAAGAACAATTTTATTTGGAGATCTTGATAATAATGATACTTTTGATATTGACTTAGCAATTAAAATTAAATGTGATAGGTTTGATGATGTTCTTCGAGCTGAAGAGGCAACTTTACTTGACTTGTGTAAACAACAAAAAATTAACGCATCATCACAGGTTTGTTCAATAAAAAATATTTATCATATTTTTGTCTTACTCATTTATAGGAAGTTCCACTTTATTTTCTTAATAAAGCACTCGTCTCAGAACCCTTTCCATGGGCATTGATTAGTGTTGGTTCACTTGATTGTGTTGTTGATATTAAAGTATCACCATTTGATGCTCTTTGTGATTTCTCAGTAAATTCATTACGAATTGAATTAAAACAGGTTATTGAACAATCATTAGAATCAACTGCAATTATTCCCATTACATCATCATATAGTGTTCCTTTGGTTGTCAATGATATTCAAAATAAAGTTCTTCATTGGAAAGATAATACAATAAGAAGAATTGGATTACGATATGTTCTGATGAAAGTAAAGGGGTTTAATTTAGAAAATTCAAAAGATGTAATGTTTGTTTTTATTAATTTCTTTTGGTAATGATTCTTCATTATTTATTTATTTAGTTTATTTGGTGAAAACATCTTAAATGAATTTTTTGATAAACCTTCTGAATATTTTCAGACGGAATTATTCAAATTCATTCAGCGTCATTTCTTCAAGAACCAATTCGATTTCACATCAATTTACAAATTCTTAAATATTTTAAACGAAACAATTATCGCTGTAAAAAATCCTTCTCTTCTTTCTTCAGAAGTTGATAAAATAAAGAAGATGTTAGAGATTTTTGAGAAAACTGGAAGGAGGAGTAAAAGAGAAAGATATTTTGAAGAATAAATATTCAACTGTGTATTGTTCAAATTTTGTTTGGTAATTGAGTATTGTTTAATTCAGTTGTTAATTTTTAAGTGTATGAAGTATTATGTATTATTATGCAATTATTACAATTAATAAATAAAACTAAAATATATAACTTGTTTAATATTCATTAACAAAAAATTTAATACGTCTTGATGAAATATTATTCAAGATATATAACCTATTCTTTTTGAAATATTTCTTTAATAATAAATGAAAAGTCAAATATATTAATAAAATGAATATGATAAAGAAGAAGACAATAAAACTGCTTTTAAATAATAAGCAATTAAGTATTAATAGAAATAGCTTCTAT